GGTTCAGCAATCACCAGCAGGCCCGTGGTGATAAGAAAGATCCAAGGTCAAGCTACAGAGACGGTCCATGGGTCAGTGTCCAGATCAACGAGGTCCACAGCCCAGGCATGGTGTGATGGAGCTGCAGACAGGTACCCCTACAGTGTAGTTCAGTCAGGGACTGAGGGTTGTAAGGTGAAGTGGCTGCCTGAGTGCTCGGCTGATCCCAGAAGCGCTCAGTCCTTCCACATAAAGACAGAGCTTTCCTGAGCCTCTCCAAAACTGCAAGGATACGTTGGATAGTCTTTGCTCTCCTTCCCAAGGTTGTGTTTATAAAGTAAGGAGGGAGATGTCTTTGGGACTGAAAGACACCGCCTGTGGGTGCCCACCATAAACACTTGCTCTTGCACAATATTATAGCATTGCCTTGACAATTTTTTATTTCACATGCTTAAATTTCTTTGGCATGACAGCTACTAATTTCTATGTCATTCAGCACAGGGATATGTTAGCAGCATGACCAAAAAACATTTTTGAAGATAGAAAATCAGAGGTGGTGTAAGCTTACACCTTGCTAGGCAGCGGTAAAGGAATGACTGGATGGATAACGTTTGCAGCAAGAGCTGTTAAATGAGGGCTATAGAATGACTATTAACTAACTATTGACTATTATCTCCATACACAAGATTAACGTGCAGTGTCAGCATGTAAACGTAAACAAGCAAACTCTTTTACAAGTGGGAAAAGATCTCCACTGGGTACGTTTGGGCTGTAAAGCACTACAAAGTGCTGGAAGGGTCATCCTGGTTAGCAGGCTGGGCTCTTAAGTTTTAAGGTCAGGACATTGGAAATGTCTGCTGTTAACTTTCGTATCACTGTCTTCAATTTACATGCCCAGACGCTATAACTCATGTCTGCTTTCAGCAGAACATGATATAACTTCCATTACGTCATCTACTTTTTTGTCTAATGTTTCTAGCATTTTTATAATGCTTGCACAGAGGTGGGAGAGGTAGAACTGTCCTTATTGTGATGTTTCTGCATTTGGTTAATGAGTTAATTTTGCAGAATTTTCCATTTGGGATCCATTTTATCATTTGTAGGGTAAATCAGAGAAGACGGTAGTGGAAGGGAGCATGTGCGCCCATGTCTAATGACGGGACCTAGGTGCCACAACTGTCATCAGAAACTGGGGGCAGTGCCAGCTGTGCCGATGGGAGGAGCTGCACTGGAAATTTAGGTCTTGCCAAGCCTCCATCCTATGTCAGTAATGAACAGCGCAGGCGCCATTTACTTCTGACAAGGCTGTTTTTTCTCATTATCCTCTTTACAGATCTGACCACTTACGACTCGGTGAAACACTTTTTGCTTCTGAACACACCGCTTGTGGACAACAGTTTGACTCACAGTGTTGCCAGGTGCTGTATTCCCCAGTTAGTTACCCCTTTTCCGCTGTGGAGCATTTCCAGCCTCGCTGTCTTGATCTGCCTCTCTGGGCCAGCAGAAGCCCCTATTCTTTGGTCATGATACTGCTGATAAAATGCACCTTTATAACTACTTTTTTTTTTTTTTTTTGCCTGAGAGGACATCTTTGTACAAAAGACACAAGACAAAGGATGCAACCGTTGTACAAAACTGCCCTCACTAGAAGTGCCTTGCTGATGCATTTAAACACTTCACACATCTGTGAGAGCACAGGAATTTTCACTTTTCTAGAACTGCTACTATTTTATCTAACTTAGTTTTAATTTTAGCAAACCATAAGAATAAGCAATATAAACTTTGCAGAACAATCTCTTTTACTCCCTTAAATTATGAAGAAATCTGCTTTATACAAACAATAATAAAATGCCTATTGTGGGTCCTTTATCCCTGCCTCACAGAGAGTGAGGGACCCTGCACACAGAGGTGAGGGAAGCTGGCGCTGGGAGGACATCTGAGCAACAGCAATACTAGCAAGCCTCCTCCCAAATCAAGTTTATGTTAAGTTATGAGGTATTACTCATGATTTTATGGTAACTGTTTTAATATATTATATTATATATTATTAGAACTGGAATCATGATGCTTAAATTGTCATGATAAATCTTAGTTTCTTCTTTAAGTATCTGCTGCTGTTGACAGTTGCTGTTCTGGCCTGGTAGCTGCTGTTCTGGGAACTCCTGCTGATGTGGTCAAAACCAGGATAATGAACCAGCCAAGAGATAAGCAGGGAAGGTACAGACACTTCAGAGACTGACTTTTCAGCAGAAAATTGAAACCCTGAGTCTCACTGATTTCACTAGGAGTGAAGTGCTAAGTCCCTAATTTGCTCTTCATCTTTCTGATGATCATTTTATTGTTTTAGTTTTGCACGTCCAGGGGCGGGTTATTGTGATGGCCACCTAAGCATACCCAGTTACTTAGTGGATTTCAGTTCTGATGAGACTCCAGTGAACTTACAAAAGAGCTCTTGCTTGTACAAATTTATCAGATACAGATTATTTTTTTGGGGGGGGGGGGGATTTTTTTAAATTGCATATTTCTGATCCTAACAGTATTTGTTCTCCTTGCACATTGCCAGAGGTCTGCTGTATAAGTCTTCCATGGACTGCTTGATTCAAACTGTACAGGGTGAAGGGTTTATGTCTCTATACAAAGGCTTTATACCAACATGGATGCGAATGGTAAGTGCCTTTTAACTCTCTTTACAAGACAGTTGGACAATGTGGCATTAAAATGTAAGGAGTTCTTTCTGTGTCAACACTTTTCCAAAACTATTTGGGTCTCTTGCTTTATTTAATTGCAGTTAGCATAGTTGAACGTACTGGATGACACAACTGCATGCAGTGTCACTTTCCCCACGTTGCCTCTTGCATCTCTTTAATTTGGAAAATGCTGTCCTGCCTAATTGCTAGTGATTTTCCTTGGTTTTTTTTACAATTTCAGGCTCCCTCCTTTCTCCCTTCCTTAACTCTCTTTTGTTCCCTTCTTGCTCCCAGCCCTGAACTCCCTTTGCATCCCTCTTACTTTCATTCCTCCTCTCCTGAACCCAGAAGTGCTTTATTACTCTTCCATCCCAGATCTCACTTTTGCCCCTCTTGTATTTAGGCTGGTGGCTTCCTCCTGCATACTGCTGGGCCGTTAAAGCTACATCTTGTACAATTAAGCCAAGCAGCAGCTGGAGCCTGGGAACTGGAACTTGGCTGTCTATACCGTTATTTTGGGCAAGGGACAATTCCCAATAGAATATTTAGATGTGACCACCTTTTTTTTTTTTTTGAAGTCTGTAAGAATTTAACAGTATGGCTACGTCTAGACTCTGCCAGCTGGCTACAAGGTCTTGACACTGTTTAACTTACCAGATTGAGCACTAAGATCAAAGGCAAAAGCCTCCCTTCTCTAATTTAACTGAGCACCACAGCCTCTGGTAAGAGCAATCATAGGAAGGTTCTGCTCAGTTGCTCAGTGCCCGTGTCCCTCAGCCGGAGCACATTCAGTATTGATGGGGTCTTTGCGACTTTACTACTAAGCTAAAAATTTCCATGGAGCATAGACCAACTTAGATTTCCCAAAGGCTTGTAATTTTGGGAATGTTTAGCAGATATTTCAGAGGAGCAGGAAAAGGTGTTTCCTAGGCACAAGGCAGCCTTTTGGAAAACACCAATCTATTGCCAAAAAAAAAAAAAGTAGAGCATCTCAACTCAATGGGTGCAGGATATAAATTTTATGCAAGGAGAACTGTGTAATTTTCTGATTAAGGTTTTAGAACAAGTAAACCCTTTAAAAATTTTTTTAAAAATCATTCAGACTGAAGTAGTCCCCAAGCATGAAACATTTCAGGTCAAACATTTATGAGTTGGCAAGCTGAAAAAAAAAGTTTTAGGGGTCTTGTGAAGGACTGGGTAGCCCTAACCATATGCAACACTACAATTTTTGTATGAAAGACATAATATGAGATTGACCTTAAGAATATGATTTTTAAGAGGAGATAGTTTAATCTAATGGGTTTATTTATTGGGTCACTTTTGTTTTAAGCCTCTAACTTCAGTGTTTGCTTCCACAGGCTCCCTGGTCACTGGTATTCTGGCTTACGTATGAACAAATCAGAAGGATCTGTGGAGTTAGTTCTTTTTAAAATCGTGAAACCACTTCAATATTCACAAAACCAAGAAGAATCAGAAAGCTGAATTCTCATTCCACAAGGCATCCTGACCCCACAGGGAACTAATTCACTTAGGAGACTGGCAGTAGGATCACATGTATAGGTTGCTGCCCCAAATCCAGTCCTTATTGGTTAGAAGTAGCCATGACTTAAGAATACTATTTGCTTGTCAGACTGCTGTATGAAATTTAAGTTATCCACAGGATAAAACTGCAACAATAATACTTCAACTGGCAGCCAGCATCAGCTTTCTGAAACAGTAAACAGAGGTAAAAAAAAAATCTACCAAGCAAGTAGAATATAATACTGTTTGCTTGTTTGATAATAGAGATGGTTCCTGTTGTTAAGGTCAAGAGCAGGTTGAACAACACAGCACTGAACATCTTCTGTGGCTAAGCCATCCATAAAATCATTTGGGAATTTTCGTTATTATTACATTTGCACACACATGAAGAACTACCTCTTGTTAGTTTGATGCCTCAGCAAACCAAGCCTGTAGTGCTAGGAACTGAAAAAGATTAAAGCAGTTTACCTGATTTCAGAGTTGCTTTGCACAAAAGGTGGAAGGGGTTGAGTTCCTCTTACTTCCCAGAGATTGCCTGACCTCTTCACTCAATCGTTTGACGAGTATCCATGCGTGAAATGCAGTCCTGTATCCCAGAAATGAAAAGCTTAGTTTGCTCTGCCCCTCTTGAAGGGCTCATAAGACACATGCTGTCCATAGGACTGAGTTGAACTACTTGTCCTTTGAGAGTCCCAGTGCTGATGTGGCAGACTGGGTCATTACAGTTCCACTTGTCTATGGAAATAGGCACTCTACCCATTTTAAATCTAGGTGAAAATATAATGTTATATTCAAACATTTTGTGTTTTTGAAGAGATTTATTTTTTTTTAAACCTAAAGCTTTCCATATTTCATAGGAAAGGGGACTGCTGCTCTTTGTCACTAGGTTTACCTTTGGCAATCAGGAGACAAAAATGCAGTATAAAAGCCATCATAATGTAGATAGAACAAAGCTGGCTTTGATTTAGCAATACCTAGTAATGAAACGACCGTACAAGACTTAGTTCTCTGAGTAAATACTCAGGATTTCTTCCAGACTAGTCTTTGCAACTAGTAGCTTCAATGTGCCAATTCCTGATGACAGTTTGGGCCCCTTCTTGGCTTGCACTTGTACTTTTTGATTGTATTGTAGATCTGTTGTGGCTGCATGCATTTGGGTATGTGATTCCAGCCTGGAAAAAATTCGTCTCACCATTATTAGGAGGCCAGAAGTTTTTGTTCAGAAATACTGTTATTTTTCTAGTTGTCAGCTTGAGAAACTAATCTGAGCTCTTTCCTTCTTCCACACCATCACCAGCAATTATAAACCAGCAGCCAAAGCTGCTTCTTCAGTTACATCCCGAGTGGTCCTGCCTGCACTCCTGGCACTCAGATAACCCCGATAACGGGTATGCAGGAGTACCTGATCTATCGAGTTAAAAAAAAGTAATTTTAGAAGTCTTGTAGTGAAAAACTGTTTTAATTCTTAATACAGTTCTCTGTTTTTAGCGTGAAACACTAAAGAGATTTGTAACAGTGCTGATTCCTAGTATTTTGTATTTAAAATGAATACATAATTTGAATAGGAAAACCTGCCACTTTCTGCATTACTTCTGAGTGTTTTCTACTTCCAAATTTTTCAAGCAGAAGTTTCTGCCCTGTGAAACACATGGCCATATTTATTTTCTCACCAGCTTCAGTTTCCGAAGCCAAGCACTAGCCCAAGGATGGCACTAAGGCTCCTTGGCTGGACTCTCCTGTGGCCTCAGAAAAGCTCGCGGAACTCCTGGGCCTTTTTTTTTCCCTCACACCTCCACTCCTGACCATTGTCCCTAAAGGCTACAAGGCAGCTAAAGGTCTGCCTGGAAAAAAGGGGGCGAAACCAGGGAGAAATCACACGCTTACAGAGCCCGCGCCTCAGGCGCCCCTGCCCCGCTGGG